TGTCTTAACTTAGTAGAGATCAAATAAAGTAATAATTGTGGGAGTTTACTATAAATTGTATTGCTCAGCTCAATTTTCAGGTAATATATCTTATACATCTACTCATTTAAAACAATTATTTACAAATATTATTTAGCTCATTCACTTTAGGTGTGAGGAAACTTGCTGAGGAAAATGTGCACTTGGATAATATTTGGAGTTACATGAGGGGAAGTCTGGGAATCTGCTTGGCTTTGTTCTATGCATGCCTGAGATAAGTTAGTTGCGGGTGTAAAAAAATGCATTTATTACATCATGCAATGTCTAAGAGCTTGGAATCTGCAGCTTAACTGCCTTTAATTGTGTTGGCTGTTGTCATTTTCAAAGGTCCCTACTTACAAGCTATATGACCTTGAGAAAGTTAGAGAATCTCACCAAACCTTAATTTCTTTTCTTTTTTTTAAATTTTTTAAGTTGTATATGGGCTCAATGCCTTTACTTGTTTTTATGTGGTGCTAGGATCGAACCCAGTGCCTCACACTTACGAGACAAGTGCTCTACCACTGAGCTATAACTCCAGCCCCTTAATTTCTTTACCTGTAAGAAAATAATGAAAGTATACTTAACCTTTATATTTTTTGTCATATCTGTCACTAAATACACAATATTAATAATTTTATGCTTCTTTGAAAATACTTTTATATGATGGAGTGATCATCTATTTTCAATATTTTTTATAAATAGCAGTTTTGTTCTTGCTTACCATAAACATATATTACATGTATAAAATACAAAATGCTCTTTTGCCAAAATTCAGTACCCTCTTAGCTATTTCAGAATTAATCTATTGCTTTGAAGGACTATAGCCTCACTTTATATTTTTTCCTTTGGTGTCAATATCCTTAATGTGATTTCAGATTCTGAGCCATTTGATAAACATGTTAGATTTTAAAGACTCACTACTGTCCTTTCTAATGAGAGGAAAAACTGTGCCTCTTTGTTTTCTACTTGTAAAGCTGAATCCCAGGAGACTACAATGTACTTAACTTTCAATTTATGGACAGGGTGGGACCCTAAAACAGAACTGTTCAAGTAATAAAAACTTAAGGGACAAATTGAATATTGTATTTGAGAACCAAATGCTATAACTGTAACTTTTTAACTTATTAAAGTTAAAAATTAACATTGAAAATTTCCTGTTTCCTTAATCCTAATCTATTAAAAGCAACAATTATATCTATAAATAGCAGAGTCTATATGCTCAGTAAACAAATGATGCCCATCCCATTCTATTCTTAGATAAAATGAGATTCTTATCTCTAAATATTGTTAGTCTTTCCAGACAAACAAAAAGGAATTCTCACAGAGGAAGTGAAGTTAGTTGCTAATGAATCATTTCGAGATAAGAAGGTCAGTAAAGCTTGTTTTCCACAAAGGAGAACACAGACATTGCATCCCTGGGGAAAATATTAGGATTATAAGAAAGGGAATTAAAATTAAGAAAATAAAATAATTATTTTATCTTCTAGGATCTATTAGGAAATACAGGTAATACCAATGCTCCTCAACAGATGATGGGGTTGTGTCCTGATAAACCCATCATAAATTGACAGTGAAGTTGAAAATATGCTTAATGTACCTGAGCTACCAAACACCATAGCTTAGCCTAGCCTGTCTTCCGTGTTCTGAGTATATTTACATCAACCAACTGTTAGGCAAAATTATCTAATCCCAAACCTAAGTGTTGACTCTTTCATGTAATGTACTGATTGAAAAACAGAATGGTTGTATGGGTACATTTTCCCACTACTGTAAAGTTGGAAAGTTATAAGTTGAACCTCTTAAGTTGAGGGCTGTCTGAACACACTTCTGAATTCATGGTCACAATACACCTTTTTTTTTTTTTTTTGCCTGCTTCATTATGAGTACGTGTGTGTGTGTGTGTGTGTGTGTGTGTGTGTATGAGTGAGAACTGAGGGTCGGAGGAAAGAACCACAGTGGTAACTCTGTAGCTGGTTTAAAACACTGTAATGTCTGGATCCTCTGAACTGTAAAGTCTGTGAGTCCATAGGAACTCAGGGAAGTTAAAAGTATAAAAGACAAGAAAGAATCAAGGCCATCATGGGTCTCCAAGCCAGGGTTCTATAATGGTACTCTTTTGGGTAGGTGAGGAAAGGATAATAATACCTGTTTTATCTACCTCACAACATTACATAAAGTAATCCAGAGAGCTAATAAAGGGCACATTGCTTTGAAAGTTAGAAGTTGATTTAATCATTAGGGACTATAGTCATTTATTAATTATTATCATCATCAAAAATCTCTACATAAAAAAAGAGAGAAGACTAACTGGATTTTGGAAATAACCTTTGTTTTTGGTAAAATTACTGTTCTCCAAAAATCTTGCTTATTTTATGCTTTTTCTTTCCATGTCAATGTCCTTCCTGTGAATTCAGATTCTGAGTCATTTGATAAACATGTAAAATTGTAGTTTCACTACTGTCCTTTCTAATGAGAGGAAAAAGGGTCCCACATGTTTGATGAACAACTAAAAGAACTGAAAACAAAGCAGATTTTTGAGTTTGAAAAGAAGTACTCTGATAACCTAACTCTGATCCAAGCCCCAGTTATTCAAAACTTCAGCCCCATTCATTTGAACTGAAACACTGGCGGTTTTCAGCAACAAGTAGTGATTGACACAGTGTATGGTGAATCACTTCCAGTTCACAACATTCCTGAAAGGAACCACAGAAAAAGCTTAGATAACTGGGTACTTCCAGTATTGCTGGTGGTCTTTGGATGCTCCTTTGGCCACCTTCTCCTCTTATAAATGATTATTGATTCCAAAGCTTTTATTCATACTGCTAGAAGGCCATGTCTGTCAATGGGTGTTTTGTCAGTAGGAAGGACACCAACTCCTTCCATGTTTCCTCATAGCAGAGATTCTTCAGGAAGGAAATCACTTGATGGTTCTTGTGTTCCTCCCTACTGCCACTTCCATTCCTGGGAATTCTACCCATCTGGGCTAGATTTGGGGCCACTGGAGGATGCTGTACAGTCACTGATTCTCTACCCCCAATACATAGTACAGTTAGGACACATTTCATGAGGTCTGACAGGGCAGATGAAGGACAAAAATTAGTTTGGTGTGTCAATAACTAGAAGAGGCTTTTATAGAAATATGGAATTATTATTAAATTAAGAAATGAAAAAGAGAACATGAATATTTTTGTTTTAATTTCATCTTGAAATGTGTTCAGGAAGTTATTCTACACTGACTAAACTGAAATCCATTGAGATCCATGTGCAAGAGATGTTGACTTTTACTTGAAATCTCTGAAATTATCTAGTACAACCATGTCATTATAATGCGAAGACCAGCTATCATTAACTACAAAGCTTGTAATATATACTTGGTATTGTTCTAAACAGTAAACATATATAAACACACATAACCACAATGTACGAATTACCTGTAAGCCTTATAACAGTTGAACAATGTAGGTATTATTATCTCTGGTTTACATATTAGGAAACTGAGGCTAAAATAAGTGACTTGCCCAAGGCAGAATAGGAATGGTGAGTCAAGTTTTGCACTCAGAAATAACCTTGCTCCAAAGCCTGCTTAGTTTCCATTACACTGTGTAGTTATAAAGACAGGAATAGAAACAGACTTTCTGACTCCCTCTCCCATTCCCTTTCCAGAAAACCAAGATGGACTGAGATTTACTAACTTGTAACAGTAATGCAATTTGCTTCCTATGCTCACTTCTTTTATTGAACCATTAGAATGAAACAAGCTACTTCAAAAGTGCAGCCCTTGAAACCAATAATTATATTTTTGTAGGAAACAAATTATTTCATGGGACACCAAAAGAAAGGACATGCTCTTACTTCCATGGTTCTCAGAGACTGTCATGTCCTCAAAGTTGGCCAGCCTTGATAAGTTTCTTGGAACAGTTATAAAAAAAGGTCTTTGACTGCATGAAGTCCAGAACTTTGCTTCTATTGAATGTGAAGCTCATGAAAATGACTGAAATCAAACCATATAGTTTTTGCATGTTCTTGGAGTGGTAGCGTTGAACTGGTAGAGTAAAACAAGCTAGGAGTAAAAAGGCATTACTTGCAAGATGGAGGAAAGATCCAAGAAGAAATTTTTCTCTAGAAAAATGTCACACATATTTATAACCTTTAAGAGTTTTTTTTCTTGTTTTCTTCTTGAAAATCTAAATAATAGGAAAATACAAGAATAAGTTTACTTTTGGTAAAAACTAATTAAGACCCATTTTTTGAACAGTAATTTGGATATTTATGTGTTATGGGAAGTTAACTTTGAGTCTCTGATATTTATGAACATGTTTGATTATAAAATTACGTTGAGGATAGAAAATCTCATTGAGACTGAAAAAACGTTAGTAATTATATACAAGCTTTGTTTTCCCTAAGTGTCTGCCTTTGGTTCTGAATAGGGGTGAAGCAGTATGTTCAGTGGAAGGAACATTGAATTGTGTGTGGTCTGCTGTGGGTGTCACCTGTCCCTTCTACCTCAACCTTGTGCTCTTGGGAAAATGATTGATCCTTCTCTGAGTTTGGTTCCCTGAGTATTCAATGTTAGAATTTGGCTAGATTCTCCCTTAGGGTCATTTATCCCTTATGACAATTAATTCAGATAATTCAGAACATATGTGGATAGAGTTAGCAAGGCCCCTAGATTCTTACACTATAAGCAGTTTTCTCCAAATATAGAAATCTTTACCTTTGTACCTGACTGGTAGGACAACCAACCTGTCTTCTTTTCTCCTCCCTTTCCACTTATGAAGGGAACTCAGTTGGAAATATGTTGCCTACCAGGTCATATGTCTTGCTCTAATAAGGAACTAAGCTCTTATCCAGGATTATAGAGTGCTCAACTTTGGTTAGGTCCTTGGATTCAGTCCCTTGCTTTTCTGGGGGAGGTATCATGAAAATACTTTACTACTTTAGAAATAGACATTATCTGCTCAAATCTGCCACCTTGACAGGATCCTAAAGGATGGAAGCTAGATTGGTGTGGTGTATGAAGTCTAGCATGAGCCTGAACAACTGGTTTTATGTGTCACCAACCTGCCAGTATATAAATGAGCTGTGTCTCACAAGTTCGTCTTAGAGCACCAGCTGAGCGATGCACGGAGCAGACCTGTAGCCACCTTACATCATCTTCAACATGAAGTCAGTCACAGTGTCAATGCTTCTGACCCTGGCTCTTTGCCTTATTCAAGGTGAGTAATTTGCATGCAATCTAAGCCTCTTGCCACACATCTTAAAGCCCTGGGGAAGGGCCTTTTTCCACAAATTGCCAAGAAAATGCTTATGTATATCTATAATTTTGAACTGTCTTGCCGATATAGGTTTTGAAGATTTAGATACACGGATTTGTAATTATTATGTCAACTTTAGAACTAGCAAGTAGTTTAAAAACATCTTAATTTTTATCCATGAGCAATTCTTCTACTAATTCTCTACTAGTTCTGAAAGGAGAATAGATTCTTCTTCACCTTCCCCTCACCAAACTTATCAATTCACTCTACATAGGTATGTTAAACATTAAAAAAAAAAAAACTTTTGCAAGTAATATAGATAGCTTAATTCTATATGTATAAATAAAATATTTCAAAAGCAAAATTTAATTATCTATCCTTATTTTAAAGCAAATGTGCCTTCTACCTTATTGTATTTCTGTGTTTTCAAGTGCTAAGTGGATTCAAAGTATTGCTCCTAAAATGAGAAGGATTTTTGTATGAGCTAAAAGATGAGTTTTAGCATTTTGTATTTTATTGTGAAGGGAATACAGATTGCCTAGATTTATCTTGTTCTGAATCACTTTTTAAAACAGAACTACATAAATAAAGTGAGACCATTATTCACAAATGATACCTACTTTCCTAAAATAAATGTATAGGTACAAGACAGTTAATGAGGGTATGTCATAGTCTGATTTTAATTAATCTTTCTTTTATCATATCTTTAATATTTGCATCTATAGTAAGTAGGCAGCGTTGCCAGAATTTAGAAAATGGAATTTTATGTATAGATGTGATAAACTTTGTGCTTTATTATGCTTTTAAATTAAATTTAAAGGGATATGACATCTTTGATAGTAAGTTATATTACAATTTATAGATGGAGACTGCCAAACTTTACTCTGAAAAGATCTCTTGGAAATTAGATATTTTGAGTGTGTCAGAAAGCATCTGAGTATTAGTTCCCAAAGAATTTCAGCTTTCTGAGTGAGTAGACCTTCGTGAGTGTACATGCTGAATTCCTGGTGCCACTACCCTCATTATATTTGCAGTGATAAATCTTAATGTGTTCAAAAATAATTTGTGGTTTTACAACATATTGTTATTAAAGCAATCAAAACACTGCATTGAGTGAATCATTTTTTTCATTTACCGGTTTACATTCCCTTAACTTTGGTTTCTGCATTTTCATCCCAGATGCTGCCAGTGAAGATGCAAATCAGGTTAGTCTTGCTTTTTCTCATTGAATCCATTCCAAGATGCCTAAAGAAAAATGGTTTGTGGCCAAAACCTTCTGTTAATAATGCCAACATTATACAGATGGGTCGTAAGAGCTTTGGTTAAATACACAGTGAACAGGTTTTTAGGAAGACATGAATCCCTCTCTCTGTCTTTCTCATTTTCTTTCCCATACGCACACAACCAATGTTTTGATGATGATTAATGTCTATAAGAGACAATCTATTGTGCTAAAGAAGTGCTTTAAAATCCCATAAACAAACACAGAATAAACCAACCAAAAACCATACTGTTGTTCTACTTAGCAGCTGAGCAAGCCATGGTATACCACTTAAAGAGCTAAATGTTTTCATATTCATTGTGCAAAAGAGGTTGTTCATCTTGTTTATAGCCAGTGTAAATATTCCATCCAATAAACATGTATTGAGCATCTATTATGTGTCAGACCCTGTTTGTAATTCTGGGGATATTCTAAAGTAAACAAAATCGTTGAAAACCCTGCCCTTCTGACTTGTATTTTAATAAAAAGATGAGTTAATAACTAAATTAGTAAAATATATAGTACATTAAGTAATGATTATTGCTAGGAGAAAAATAAAGTGGGATGCAGGATAGTAATTCCAGGAAATGGAGGTGGTATCACTTCTCACTGGAATAGTCAGGGACCTTCTCCCTGAAGAGAAAGATTGGAACAAGAATCTGAAGGTCCACTTGAATCAAATGTATGAAATATGATATGTCAAGATCAATGTAATGTTTTGAGCAACCAATAAAAAAAATTAAAAAAAAATTAAAGAATCTGAAGGTCCATTAGAAAGTGAGCTGTGAAGATTTTTGCAACTTCTAACAGAATAGTCAGAAGCACTCAGAGGCCCTGATACAGGAAGAGGGTGCTGAACCAATGAGAGAATGGTCTTTTCTTTGAGAAACAGAATAATCATTTTCTATGGAAATAATTTTTTTAACTCTTAGAAAGACAAAAGGACCAACACCCCTCCATGCACACACTGCTATTCATGCCATTAATTGAACACTAAAAATGGTGTTATGTACATAACAAAATTTACTGAATTGCTCAAAGACCATAAATATTAAAATAATAAAAAAGTGAAATGATTCTTCTGCCTATTGAAATACTTTGAACCATAATTAAATTACTCTTTTGCTCTATTTTATTGAAAAAGATTTTAAAAAGATAATTCTCACAGTAATATCCCAGGGAATACCATCATAGTCTCTTTCATCTAAGTTTTCTGATTAAGGAGAGCTCTAGAAACTATAGTAGAGTAGAGGAAAAGGCTTGATTTGGGGGAGCCAGAGAGCATGCTCAGTTGGAAAAAAGAAGGGTATAGTACAGATCTCACAGCACCAAGCCAACATTTTCTTTTTCAGAATCCATGAGAATAGGTGATGATTGAGATTTTTGCACTGATTTTTTTTTCATATGGTTACATTCTATTTCACCAAACATTGTCTCAAAAATATAGGTTTAGCTACATCATATCAGCATAAAAGGCAAGAAACACACAAAGAGGTAAACATTTCTTTAGATATTATGATAGAAAGGAAAACTATTGATAGTAATGTTGTTCTTTTCCATGTTCAGTTGCTAGAGATCTTTCCAGCATCAAACAAGCATGCTGAGTGTTAAAAACATGAGCCAGAACAGCATGGAAAAGCACTCTAGCACTTGAAAGGATCTTAAGCATATGATTAAATTTCTCAACACAGAAGGGTCCTTGTGAAGCCAAAGCAAATGTGTTATTGCGCTGATACCCAGATAGGGTGATGCCAGTTCTTGGAGGGTTATGATGGATAATGCAAGACCACAGCAAAAGAGGCAAACAAAGAGCAGTTGACCCAAGAGGGCTCCAGACATGCAGAAAATAAGGACAGCAACAATAACAAAAGAAGAGTGAGCTGAGGACAGGCAGTCACACTGCTGGCTAATAGTGACTAGAAAATCATCACCCCACCTCAACACGACTTATTGGTCTAGATCTTCTCCTGCTTCAACAGGCTGTATCATGGCAATCGAGAGAGAGTCTGTTTACCCCAGAGAGAAATACAACTTCTGCTTTCAATTTATATAGTCTTTTCCTGTGTCCCAGGAGAATCACTAGTTAATTTTATGACTCAGAAAAAATAATACTGAGCCTCATCTTAAGTAATTGATATTTTGAGCAAGTTTCTTAATCTACTCGCTAAACCTTTGTAAAACAATAAACAAACAAACAAATAAATGTGAGTCTTTCTAGGAACTTAGCTCTCATCAAATTGTGACATTGTAGGTGTTCAATTCAGAAGTTATCTGGATTGATGCTAAACTTTTATGATCAACAACTAACAATTATTTAGAGCTTAATTCCAATATTATTAAGTCTTTGCTCTATATATTTTCTCTAAGATAACTTCATAAGGGATATATTTCTATTATGAAGACACAAACTCTTCTCTCATTCTGTTGTCATGTTTTTAAGATGTTTCAGAACCAATTATATCTGGCAATTGAGGCAGTAACTTACAAAGTTGACATAAAATACTACAGAATCAGAGACCAGACACAGATCTCAAGATGCCTAGACATGAATCTATAGTCAGAAATTAACACTGTGATACTCTGACAGTATCACTGGGTGGGGATGACAATCTTAAGAGTTATTTTAACAGGTCACCCTTAGTAAAATTTCCAAGATCTGGACTCTGATATTTTTTATTGTTCTTTACCGTTAATCATTTTGTAATTGCTTCCAACTGCCCATCATGCTTATGAGGCTAGATTGTCCATTAGACTATAAGCACTATTCTGGAAAGGATACTTCTATCTAATTTGCTGCTGTATCTGACACCTGGCAAAATACAATAATCTCATAATAAGTGATTGTTGATTGATCAAAGTATTACAAAGATATAGGAGGCTCAATAGAATTTTATCATCAGCACTTTGGAGAAGGTTGTCAGAGTTAGAACAAAGATTTTATTTATTTTCTGAAGCAAGCATTATGAAGTAGAATTATTCTTTTGAAAAAATCAAAATATAATAAAATCTTATATCCCAAAGGCTTAATCCGAAGACCTAGTGAACTTTCTAAGCTAATAGGGATTATTAACACTTTAAGTCAGTACTTTGCTAGATGGCACCAATGCACCACTGATTTTTTTTTTTTTTGTACCAGGTATTGAACCCAGGGGCACTTACTCACTGAGCCACATCCCCAGCCCTTTTTAAAATCTTATTTAGAAACAGGGTCTCACTGAATTACTAAGGGCCTCGCTAAAATACTGAGGCTGTCTTTGAACTCTCCATCCTGCTGCCTCTTTCTGAAAAGAAAGAACTATCACTTTTAAGATGATTTTACTGTAGTTCCCCTATCCTCTCTAACATGCATAATGATTTCCACTTTCCTTCTAACCTCGGTATAGTGCAATCATTGGTATTTACCGAAGCCCACAGCGCATAGCAAAATATGTCTTCAAGGATGTTACACAGAATAGTCAAATAGTGGTACTGGAGAATGATCTGAGAGAGACAAACAGACAGAGAGGGGTAGTTTTTTGTGTTTTTTTTTTTTAAGAAATTTTTCACTCTTTGAAAAGAATTCCTCAATAACTTATTTATTTATTTTTTTATGTGGTGCTGAGGATTGAACCCTGTACCTCACACATGCTAGACAAGCACTCTACCATTAAGCACAGCCCCAGTTACCACCAAGCACAGCCCCAGTCCGAGGAGTAGGTTTTGAGACAATGGCACAATACTTCCATAGTTTCACAAGCTTTTATTCTGGTGTTAGTGACAGAGTTGATATTGAAGATGTTGTTATTGGGGTAGGAGTGGAGGCAATTTTAAGAAAATACAAAGTTGAAAATCAAGAATGGCTAGGACTCTCTCACAACCTTGGGAGGTTTATTAACTTTTTTTTTTAATGGCACCAGGGATTGAACCTAGGGGCACTTAAATACTGAGCACCATCCCCAGCCCTTTATTATATTTTATTTAGAGATAGATAGGGTCTCCCTGAGTTTCTTAGGGCTTTGCTAAATTGCTGAGGCTGGCTTTGAACTTGTGATTCTTCTGCCTCAGCCTCCTGAGGGTTTACAGGCATGCACCACCTCACCTGGCCATCAACTATGTTAACTCTAACTCTCTCTCTCTCTCTCTCTCTCTATATATATATATATATATATATATATAGAGAGAGAGAGAGAGAGAGAGAGAATCAAATATATATATATGAGAATCAAATATATATATATATATGGTACTTAGAATCAAATATATATATATATATATATATATAGAGAGAGAGAGAGAGAGAGAGAGAGAGAGCTGAGTATCAAACCTAGTGCCTCACACATGCTAAGCAAGCGTTCTACCACTGAGTCACAATCCCAGCCCAACATTGTTAACGTTACAGTAATCTTTGTATATTCCAATAATCTTTGTATATTCCAGAACCATAATAATATTACTAATAATAATGAAGGAATATTTATTTATTGAATATTTTCTGTGTATCAGATATTCTTCAAGACTTTACATAAACTTACAAAATTTAATCTTCCTACAACCTATGAAATGTATATATTTGTACCCCCTGTTTTATTTTATTTTTATTTTGAGACAAGGTCTCACTAAGTTGCTGAGGGTGTTGCTGAGTTGCTGAGGCTGGCTTTGAACTCATGATCCTCCTGCCTCAGCCTCCCAAGCTGCTGGGATTACAGGCGTGTGTTACTGTACCCAACATTCTCATTTTAGATAGCATAACTGAATGAATAAATGATAACCATGAAATATTAGCTCAGTTTTGTTTTAACTCCAAGACCCTTATTCTGATTATTTCACTAATTGTATCAGATAAATGCTTCTTAGATGAATTTTCTATCTTTAACAGGCAAGCTCAAGTTGTGATTTTTGTTTGTGTTATTTGAAGCAATTGACTGAATGTTTTCTGTGGAGGGGATAGTAATTGTTAAGTTATACTGTCTAAGGAAGTTTTTCTTAAAGTTTTGTTTTGACAAAGTTTCGGCCAATGCAACCCACTTCCTCTTTGTAGGAAACATGCAGTGGATTTCAAGACTTAATGAAAAATGGGAAATTGTTCTGTTCTCAGGATAAAAAACTTTTTCAAAGCCCTCAAGGAAAATTGCTCTTCAACAAATGTGTCACATGCAAAATGATACTGTGAGTAAAGTTCCTCTTTCTTTCAAGTTTTTGAGGTACATGCTATTCTCTGAACTAGAGGAAATTATTTTTCTAAACTTGTATGGCTGAATAAAAATGCTTAGAAAACTCTTGGATAATTGCAACCCACCTAGAATGACTTCAATAATCACTCAAATGGGATCCCAAAGGCATTTCAGAGGACCCAATATTAATATCTTATGTAGCACACTACAGCCTTCTGATAAAGTAGTTGGGTTTTGATTTGGGGAAAAAAAGAATCTAAGAAATGAAGTCAGCTTCCTTGGACCTAATTCTGTTGTAGTAGGGCTGGGGTAGGGGTCTTAAAGTCTCCCTTGAGTAGAAAGCTAGGCTTTCCTTGTGGGGATCAAGCAGCAGAAGGATATAAGCAGAATACATTCAGATTCTCTGAGCTACCAGTGTCTTCAGACCTCTTGGATTATGCTGGAATGAGTTGGACCAAAGAGCTGTTTGTAGTTTACAGCTCCCTACATATCAGAAAGAACTAGTATCCTGGAAGCTGGTCAGGATATTATGCAATGTTTCAGTGTCTGTCCAGTATTTCTGAAATTGATTCCCTTCTCTCCAGTGATTCCATAAAGGTAGAAGCAGCTTATCAATTATAAATCCTCTGACCAAAGTGCTATAATTTTTGTTTTTTTAAGATTTACTTTGAAATTTTTTTTTCAGTCTGGGAATTGAACCCAAGGCATTGCATTACTTCTGTGCTAGATCCATAGCCCTCTAATTTTTTTAAACATATTTTTAGTTTTTTTTTTTTTTTATTCATATGAGGTGCTGAGAATCAAACCCAGTGCCTCACACATGTGAGGCAATTGCTATACCACTGAGCCTGAACCAGCCCCCAATTGGTTTTTAAACAGGGAGGCTATCTTCAATTTCTGATTGCCATCAGAATTTCAACACTGTTACTAAGGTAATACTAAGCTTATCCATTTAAGATAATTATGTTATAATTTGTTTTTAAAATGCCAGGTTGGTATGTGTCAGGGGATTTAATTTGACATATCCAAGAATATTGGGATAATTAAACTTTGATAGCAGATCTGGGGGGCAGCAGAAATTTAGGGCAGGTTAAATATTTTTTTTTTATCTCTTTGAAGCTGAATGTAAACCCACCATTATTTACTATAAAGTTTCCTGTTTGTTACTTTTTTTTTTTTTTTTGCTACCAGGGATTGAACTCAGGGGTCCTTAACCACTGAGCTATATCCTCATCATTTTTTATATTTTATTTAGAGTCAGGGTCTCGCTGAGTAGCTTGGGGACTCTCTAAAGTGCTGAGGCTGGCTTTGAACTCGTGATCCTCCTGCCTCTGCCTCCTGGGCCACTGGGATTACAGGCATGCCAAGATAGGAGACTAAAACTATGAATTTTAATAGGAGACCAACATTTTGAATATAATAAACTTAAAAATAATGTAAAACAAAGATAAAATACCTTAAGACTTGCAAGAAAGTTGATCACTTTGGAGTCACTTTTCCAATTACTATTTTTATTACTTATGTAAATTGTGTTGGAATAAATTTGTAATCTTAACTGGAAAGGAGATGGTGCAATGTATTAAAACTATCTTCCGATTATTCTCAGACCAGGTTGATTTGCTCTGTAGGGTTTAGGGAATAGAATTGGGACCAATACAGAAAATTAGATTTTTGATTCAATGTAAATATTGACTTTTAAAGATTTCATTCAAATAATGACACAGATAGGTTTTTAAGGTTGGTGAATTTCTGGCTGTTTTAAGTATTCAAGGGAGGCAATCAGCAATGTATTCAAAGGCAGAAATTCTTGCATATAATATTCCCTTTTTGAGACATTTTTTCAACATTCAGGGCACATTTGTGCTTTTGTAATTATTTCTGGACATATCTCCACTTCTGACATGCAAGATTGAACTGAGAAGAACAATCAAAATTAAGTGTAATTTTGATTTAATTGTACCATGTAAGTTTTTATTCTTCAAATGTGGGTAAGCAATGTCTAAATGATGCTATTCTTTGTTTTCTTCTAGGGAAAAAGAAGCAAAATCCCAGAAAAGAACTGGGCATTTAGTGAAAGCCACTGCCCCAACAGAGGTGAGACTATCAGGAGTCAACATGTTATATGTGGTTTTGGGTGCTGTTTGACCCTAATTAGAGCTATCTGTTTACTTCCCAATTACCAGCTTATACCTGTCGTGAAGCCAAATACTTGGAAGGGAGGGACCCTGGCTTAGTCCAGGGGTGGGCTAAATATCTGGTACATCTTGTCTCCAGGCCCAACCCATGACCCAACTCCCTGAAAACATTTTGGGTACTGACAGGTGCTCTGAGTTGAAGTAAGCCAGGGTGGTGTGTGTCTTCTGGGACCATTTCACATACCTCCTGTCCTGACTACCTCCAGAGAGAGGCTTTCTGGTGCTGTGGAACTAAGATCAAATTCCAAAATTCTTATTATGTAACCTAGGCACTTTATGTATCTTTGGTTACTATTGTTATTTTTTTTAATCTGTGAAATGAGTCATATTTAAAATGAAAAATTGAATTTAAAAAGTTGCACTGTGTTTAACATGTGTTGGCAGGCTCTTGGCTCATTCTATTTCCTGTCTTTTTTCTTCTTTTGGATTATATTATATATCTTTTCGACTACTTTCAAGATTCTCCTAATCGGCTAAGGTTGATTATTTGTATCTATTTTGTAGACTGAGACTCAGGTTATTATTTTGCTTTAAAAAAGCATTCACTGATAAAAAAGATTAAGTAGTAAGAAGGAAAGACAGATAGATTTAGGTTACTACCTCGTCATTTCATGTTGGTAAGTATATATTTTTATTTATGCAAACATTTTATTTTTAGAATATAAAATAAAATTTAAAAATAAAAGATGTGGGACCATATATCAGTGGGAATTTTTGATCTATGACATCTCACAATTAGTTGGCAAAACTGGGGCCTGTCACCAAATATCCTAACTACTCACATCACCTTCAGATATCCTGTGTGGCTTCTTCTTCAATTTTTTTCTTTCTCTTTCTCTTCTCTTGGCCCTGACACATAATTAAAACAAGCAGTCTGAGCAGGTACACCCTAATTACTTAAAACATCCATAGTCTAACCAACTTACCATCCTCCATGGCTGTATTACTCAGAGATGTCTGAGAATCTCAACCTCCATGTTAAACATGGTCAATTAATTTCTTGTCCTGGGTTCAGTTAGTCTCACTTTTAAAACAATAGCACAGCCAACACACAACTGGTCAATCTCTGTAAATCCTTTATCTGTGACAAAAGAGATATGTGTCTTTTTAAATTTTTTTTTATTTGTTCATATATGTTTTTTGGCACAAAAACCTGTAGGAGCCAGAAATGGTTAGTAACAACGTTTGAATCTGCCTTTGTCATATCTGAGGGAGGTCACTATGTAAGATCCAGTCTCTTCTTCCTGACATTTATCTGTATATTTATATATCTGATCAATACAGGGTGTTTAAAAAATCATAAAACACAAGCAAAGGACAAAAATCAAACACACACACACACACACACACACACACACCACTCCAAATCTTAACAAATCTATTTAAAAATCTATTTTAAAAATATTACTAGTAAGATGTTTATATCTCTAGAAATGATTTTTGAGTTTTAATCAAATAGAAGTTTTTTTTAAGAAATAAAATTACAAAATTCTGATGATTATTTTTCCTGAGTTTTAATTTTTAACTCTAGATAAATTACATGCAACTATTTGATTTTCTACTTAAAGAAACCACTTACTTATAAGCTAAAGTGGTTAATATTTGGCTGTGTGCCTTTCAAATAATTTGTCTAGATATTAAATGATTTTTTGCAATTATACTATGTTTTTGTTGGTGTTTTTCTCTCCACTATAAAAGAGAACAATCTACTCACTTTCTCTGCTTAGGTTTCTCCCACCAAAAATCAACCCTGACCCTACCTCTGAGAATGAAGCGCTCTACTTGTTCGAGAATGTTCCACCTATAGACATTCTCTCTCCACCTTATCCTTGATCTCTTCTTCTTCATCTAGTATGTAATCTACTCACCTCCCAACTCTAATATTCACTCCATCAACAAGCTTTCTTGGTGCTGCCTTCAAAGTATATCTCAAACTGAACTCCTTTTCACAATTTCTATTTCTGCCACACCAGTTCAGAATCCATAATTTCTGATCTCCAGTATGCTTGGTCCACGTGGAGATTTTCAGTTTTTAATTGATGTATCTGTTCATTTAATATTTCTCATGATTCTGGTTGCCAATGTTACAAGATATTAAGTTTCTGTGGGTATAGGAGTATTTTTAGCTTCTCTATTCTTTTCAAGTTGGTTCACTGCTTTAATAGCTAGTAAGGAAAGTCCTATTTCTTTGTTCTTGCAATTAAAACTTGACTAACATATACATAGATATATAAAGTTTCCATGTATATAAGAAATGAAAAATTACTGAGTTCATAAAACTTCAGTTTGAATTTGGGAAATTAATATGTTCAGTAATACAAAGAATTCAAAATTAATTTAGGTAAAATTGACTTTTTATAATACTAACTTGTCAAACTCAAGAATATAGAATAGTTTGTCATTAATTCATATTATTTCTATATATTTTAGGAAATCTACAAAATAGTCTCCACAGAGATTCTTATAATTTTTGTTAATATTTGGAAAATTTACAATTTCATTGATATTTTGAGTAGTATTTTTTCATGATATTTCTATATGGATACTACTTATATAGACAAATTCTATTGATTAAGGAGGTTCATCTTATATTAGACAACTATGTGGTATCTTGTTAATTTGGGTGGTTTATTGAATATAGTGGTTTTTTGGCAGTTGATAACAACAGCAGCATAAAACTGGTGTTTTATCATTTTCTTTCAGTATCAGTGCTCCTTTATTTTCTTTTTCCTTGTATCATTGGCAAGAATCTAGATTTGAAATGTTAAACAGTAGCGATAATAATAAATATCAAACTAAACTCTTTCTCCTCATATTGAAGGGAAGAGCATCTCTAAAATTTCTCCATTAGTTATAATGTTTATAGTAGGGATATTTTATATATATTTTCGAAAGTTTCAGAAACTCTTTCTGTTCTTGGTTTGCTAACTCTGTGTTGGTCATTACCACACAAAAAGCCTTGTCTGCAACTATTAAAATAATCTGATATTTCTCCTATCAATATAATAAATTTCTGGATAGATTTCCTGATTAATTAAAGTATAATTGTTTGCTTGGGGAAATCATAATTAGTCATAATATTTTGATATGCCATTGGATTTGGATAATATTATGGAGTTTGACATTTATGTTTATAATTAAAGTGACTCTATAACTTTCTATTGTAATTATTCTTATTAGTTTGTAAATAGATATATGAAATACCCTTGAGGTGCAGTGCTTCAAGTGGTGGCTGAGTGAGGAGGCCAGCAAATGCAGCCATGAAGTTAAGCAAAACTGGACAAAACAATCATGTTAGCACTCTGAGAATTAACAAGCAGGTATGCCAGAATTATGTTTGAAATACTGCCTGACTTTGGATAAGAAGAGTGGGAGTCTATGATGTTCTTGCTTAGGAATATCTCCATCTCACCCTGCCTCAGTTGGATTTGAGGTTCTGTTCAGGGCAAGCCATGAGCATCAGCAAGTGCAGGGAAGCTACTGGAGAGAGCTTACCCAATTTAGAGTAATGGGCAGCTACCATCCCCAGAGATTGGCAGATAGAAGTGATGATCTTCACCAAGAGTAAGGAGGATGGCCTAAGTTTGCAGGTATGTTTGGATGGAGTTGTCACATGTGGACATCAGAGAATAAAAAGGCTATGCATGCTCTTAAAAGACACAACACATCCCAGTAGAGAGCAAATTCTGGAGTAGGTGGACAAATGGTCTAAACTTTACACATCCTCCTCATACACAAAGGTCCACCTACAGAGGATGGAAGTCTTTTTAGTCTGAGGTATTTGAGCACAAACTTAGGTCTAATCGTTGACTGACCCCTAAATTACAAAGACATAGGGTGAAAAACCTAGAAGCTAGTTACAAAATAAAAACTGAGTATTTTCTTAGCAGACACATCAGCAACTACAGATTATAAGAAAACAAGGTTTCAAAAGATTTAGTGTAGTGAAAGAAACTAAAAACTAACAACTAAATAAATTATTCAAAATAAATTTTAGAAGGAAAAATCATAATCTTGAGTTTCTATTGTACATTATCTAATATGTTCAGTTTCAGTAAAACTTATGAATAATACAAATAGTAAGACTATGTGACCCACACACAGAGACAATAGCAGGCATGCTAACAGATGTGTGATAGCAATACCAGAAACAGGAGAGAAATAAAAAGGGATAGAAATATTATTTGAAAGAAGAGTGACCTAAATTATCTCAAATTTGATGAAAAAATTCATCTGAACATTCAAGAAGCTCAACAAGCCCAAGAGTCAGTAAATATAGAGACCCACAGTAGTCCCACGAATTAAAAATGTTTAAATTACAAAGACAAAGAGAAAAAATTGAATGAAGAAATAAAAATAACACATTCTATACACAGATTTCAAATAAAAGCTGAATTCTCATCTGAAATAACAAGGACTGAACAAGACAAGGTAATGATGTGTTCACAGTGCTAAAAGGAAAGAAAATTAAAATATTTCATATCCTTCAAACTTACTACAAAAATTAAGGCAAAATAGAGATATTTCTATATCAGTGAAATGAGATATTAGGTTGCTAACAGAACTGCCTTAACAAACGATAATAAATGAGATTATTTAGCTTATAGTAAACCTCTACCAGATGGCATCTTGGGCCTACAGAAGAAAATGAAAAGCACCAAAAATGTTGAAATATGGGTTAATATGAAGTACTATATAAATACATTTTTTCTTATTTTTCCTGATTTATTTTAAAGATTTTATATTGTTAAAAGTAACAACTCTAATTCTTTTTTGTTGGGTTGTAGATATACACAACAATATACAAATGGGAATGGAGAAAGTAGAGCTATATTGGGAAAAATTATATATTTTACCAGAATTAAATATCAATCTGAAATAGATTACAACAAATTAGTA